TCCACAGGGCTTGAAACTGACAACAGAGAAGACAGGATCCGTAATACTCTATGGCGACAGGAAATTTAGAAGAGCCACTTTGCAACTGGAAAATGAATCAATAGATACAAAAGCGCGGTTGAAATTTCTTGGAGTAGTATTCGATCACAACTGTGAAATGAAGGAACATGTGGTGGCATTAGGCATCAAAGCTGAAAAGTCTGTAATTGCACTAACTAAGCAGAATTGTGCCGAAATAAGGCTGGGTAATACTGTGTCTTAAGACACTTGTGTGTTGATGCTGGTCTCTGTGTCCGTGTGCCGCGACACTTGGCCTTTTACGACACGGCACTTTCAACCACACTTAACATTTAACGTTAACACTGATTGCAGTTTGTGAAGGCCACGCGCAGTTACTATATGGTTTCCAATCCTCTCGGCAGGGATTATTTACATTATAAAGACGCATGAATGAAGAAAGTCCCACATTTTACCTCATTTTCAAACCGTCATTATTACATGTAATATACAGTGTCGTCTACTTGAGTTTGCACCATATGGGAAACTTTTTATGACTAATTTTGAGGAAACTTATTCTTAATTATAACTTCCGCTGGGTGCAAAAATAAGAAAAGATGAATTTTGCTCAAGAATAAAGCACTTTTAATTTTGACAATATCGAAAATTATTATTAAGACAAGTTGATTAGAGTTGGAAAGTTCGTTCAGATATCTGATTGTACCTACCTATGATGAACATCAAGTTTTGTTAATTTTGTTTGTTTAAGTCGGTTGGTTGGTTGGTTTGATGTGGGGACCTTTTTATTATTAATTTTACGAAAAAAAGTTACTCTTCATAAAAAGTTCTGCATGTTTTAAAATCTAAAATACAATTGTCAGATTTAAAAAATTTTCAGTTGTATCCGAGGTATGTCAGAAAATATCAATTTTTTTCATATAATTGGACGTAATTTCATATTGGAAGGTAGTTTGCAGTTCTGATCAACTTTTCTTAATAACAATGTTCGATAGTGTGAAAAATAGTGGTACTTTATTCTTGAGCAAAACTCACTCGTATTCGAATGGATAAAATAATATCTGATGGTTGAATTTTAAGTTTTGGACTAAGTAGAACTTAAAGTACAACATCTGAAATTTCGATAGTTCAACAAAGCAAAAAGGCAAATACCTGCCTTTTTATTACTACCAGATTGCATGAAAAATAATCGGCGAAGAAGGCCAAGAAACTAATATAAATGATTTTGCAACCCTTGCATACATAAAGGAACAAAAGTCATTCGGTCATAATTTACAGCTGACCCAGCAGCTTCGAAACCAAATTACATGTAACAAAATCACAGATACTTGTGAGACAAATAGGCTTTACAAGAAAAAATATGTTGCGACTTCATTCATTCCATTCATTAAAAATACGCAGCCGGCGTCTGTCATAGTCTCTCTTCAGTAAAACCAAAGAAAAATAATTCAATGTGCTGCACGGCTTAAAAACACCGTTGGCGAACCTACTAGCGAACTTACGAACCACTAGAGATCATGGCACAGCGTCTTCTGTTGTTGTTTCCCAACATATAAAAAGTGAGGAGAGCTGTGTCGTTGTAACAATACGGCAAGCTGTATCGGTGTCGCTGTGTGAACACCTGAACATCCACTGTGTTACCCATGCCTATGCCGAACCTGGGCAGACCAAAATCAGCCAACAGGAAGACTTTAGCAAACGTGGAACATTCGATTTTCCTGTATTCAACGCCTATAAGGAGCGCAGGAGGCCGCCATCTGCCGTTGATGGAGCCAAGCCATCAATTGCGAGAAATACTAGACTCGTCGCAGGGGTACTACGTAGGGTAGCGTTTAGGATATGCTGCAGGTTTCGAACTGTATCTACGGAGCTGCATTGGTACTGGCCGGAATTCCACCCATTGACATCCAAATTAAAAATTGATGCCTCCAGTATCAAATTGCCAAAGGAATGAGAGTAGCACCGACTGGGAGATCGTTACCGAATGGCAGCGAAAATTGGCAAAGGAAACTGAAAATGGAATATGGACACGGCTATTGACACCAGATCTTTCAAAGTATCTAGGACGCAAGTACGGCAAGCAATAGCTAACGGAATTGCTTCCACCTCAACGATGGCGAGGTGAGGCGAAGATGCCAGGTGGTTGAAGACACAAACCACTTCACTGCGAAAAGTGGAAACTCTTATAGACGCAGCATAAAAGGCAGTGGGAGTGACATTAACTAGCCATAATTGCGTGGAGTGCATGCTTATTAGCCAGGATATTTGGAATATTGTGGATACTCTTGTGCGGAATATCGTACAAGAACAGAAAAAGAAAGAAACAAGTATGGGTTGAATCGAATACCAGTTATTTTTTGCCAAAGTAGGTAATGCTCGCACCGTTCCAGGAAAATGAATTAAACTTATAATTTTCGTCGAAATATATAAGAAGCAAAATGTAGGTTACCATTGAACGTGTACGGTATAAGTAGAAAATGTTACCTATTCCATAAGTAAATACTTACTAGACCAAGATCTGTTTCCATGACTGTATATTTGTGAGACGGACCTTATAAAAATTTTCCAATAGACTTATTTGGTAATCACTTCTTCTATTCCAAAAATTAGTTGTTTCCTTTGTCTACACAAACTATAACAAGCAACAGTGGGAAGAACGAATAGTTTATATTAAAATTAATTTATGACTTTACATTTTAGGTAGCCACATAGCTTTCAAATGGCAGTAAATTGTAAATCAGAAGAACCACTTCAAGCAAGAGTGCAGGAATGGTTAGAATGGGATCGCAATCCAGATACCAGGGCGGCAATTTCAAAATTGGTTGACGAAAATAATACAAAAGCATTAACCCAGAAGTTACTCAGTAGATTATCCTTTGGTACGAATTTGAGTTGAAACGCTTACTAAGTAGGTACTTATTATTACGAGTATATTATTATAGGTACTGCCGGACTTAGAGGTAAAATGAGTGCAGGTTATTCTTGCATGAATGATTTAGTTATAATTCAAACTGGGCAAGGATTCATCAAATACTTGGAGCAATATAAGAGTGACGTTCTCAAGGGAAACGGTATTGTTGTTGGCTATGATGGAAGACATAACAGTAAGAGGTCAGTAGATTAATCTAGTAGGATATACTCAATATAATTTTTACCATATTTTCTATTCATTTTCTTTAAATTGATTTTGGTGGTAATTCATTTTCAGATGGGCGGAATTAACTGCTACTATATTTGTAAGCGCCGGGTATAAAGTGCGACTGTTTAGTGATGTTATTCCAACACCATTCATTCCATTTGCAGTTAAAAAGTACGGGTGTGCCAGTGGTGTTATGGTGACAGCATCTCATAATCCGAAGGATGATAATGGCTACAAGGTAGGAATATTATTTTTCTAGTATATACAGACAAAATCTTCTTCTTATCCGGTCCACTCCTGGACATAGGCGCTTCCGAATCTTTTCCATTCCTGTCGAGTTTGAGCTAGTTGTGCCCCGTTTCTACGGGTCTGATATTATCCATCCATCGCTTTTGCGACCTTCCTCTACTTCTCCTTGTTTCTCTAGGGTTGGTCTGTTGGTCACTCCACCGGTAAAATGCATATGTCACAAACTTTGCATTTTACTGATTTACACACTTATTTGGAATGTCTGTTTTCTTAGGGCGCATTTTAGTTTTACAAAAGCAGCACAGGTTAATTTCACTCTTCGCATTATTTACGACCTTTGATTCTCCTTTCCCAGCTTCAATGTTTTCGTTCTCTTCTTTTTAATCTAACGTCTTGGCAGACGTGTAGTGACAAGTCATGAATGTCATTTCCGGTCCCCATTAGGTTTCTTCAAGTGTGTTGATGTCGATTAGCTGTTCCACGTACAGCGGTTTCAATGTCAGTATGGAAAAGCTGCCCTATGGAATATCTTCAGCGGCAGGAAGACCGCCTTTCCCTTCGCCCGCCGTTTGGCTTAATATGCACTATTACTTTTTCCATACTGTCGCTTCTCGTTATATGTTCGAAAAACTTCAATATGAGAAAGTTAATCAGACTTGAGAGTCGTTGTTTGGGTTTGATGTCGTTAAGAATAGATATATTGGTACGTCGTACAGGCTATGGTATTCTAAGCATTCTCCTTCAATACCACATTTCGAACGCATCCACTCGATGACGGTCAGTTGCACGCAGTGTCCACGTCTCCGCCGCATAGCCAAATACAGAAAACACCAGCGCATGGACCAGGTTGATTTTCGTGTTACGCGTTATGTTGGTATCCTTCCGTACTGGAGTAAGTTGGGCCATGGCGATTCTTTCCAGTTGCCCATTCTTCCCATTCGATTCTTCCTAGGTATATAGACTACTCGACATCATAATTACCGACCTCAAGGATATTCGGCTAGTCATCACTTGCGCTGTCAACAATCATCGCTTTCGTCTTCTGGACCAGACCAGACTTTCATCTTCTGGAATTTGAGGACCAGACTCCAGACTGACGCGTTATAACCTCTCCGACAGGGCTATGAGTTCATCTTCGCTGCGCGCCATTAGCAGTGTGTCATTCGCGAATCGGAGATTGGAGGTTTTTTTTCCGCCTATTGTTACTCCTCCGTCCCAGCCATCTAATACGTAGCGCATGATAGTCTCGCTGTATATGTTAAACAATACTGGCAACTGTATGCAACCCTGCCTTACACCTTTCCTTATTTTACATTCGGAGAATTGATGTTTATCGACTCTGGGTCTTTATCGACACAGCGGTGCTCTCTTCATACAAACCCCTAATCAGGACGACGATATGATATGGCACTCTCATTTCTATGAGTATTGGCCACAATTTGTGCCACCAATCAAAACCCAATCAAAACCTTCACATAGTCGACCACGCAGATACACATGGGCGTGTAATATTTCCTAGCCTTTTCTATCAGTTGGCGCAAGTTCAGTATCAGTTCTCTTGTGCCACGTCCTTTAACAAACCCAGCCTACTCAGGAGCAATTTGCCAAGCAGTGAAATGCCTGGCAGGAAGGATGCCTGTAGTCTAGAATGTATAATGTGGAGCATGACTTTGCATGGGTATAAGAGCGATACGATGGTAGTTATCGCAATTGGATGTGGCCAACTTTTTTTGTGCAGGGGGATAATAATTGAAGTTGTCCATTCGTTAGGCCACACTCCTTTTCTCCATATCGTTTGGCAGACCATGTGTATTGCTTCAATTCTTTCATTGCTCAGTGTTATAAGAATTTCCGCAGTAACCATATCAATTCCAGGGGACTTATCCATTGCAAGTCTCCTGATGACCGACGGCGTGTACCTCCTGTCATAGTATGCTCGGTTCTTCGTCCAAATTAGTAATAACTGGGGGTCCCCCAATATGTTCATTCCTTTAGAGGTCTTCACAGTATTTTCTCCAGACTTCTGTGATCTCATCTATGTTTGTTTCTAGGTTGCTGTTGGCATTGCAGATCGCGCAGGTGCTGGGCCTGAATTTGCGGGTTATGTATTTGAGTTTCGCGAACGCATCTTTCGGCTGTGTGGTGAATGTTGATGAATTTCGCATGTTGATGAATTTATTTGCAGATATTGTTGAGGTGATCATTCTTGTCCTTTCTTAAGTTTGCCTGAATGAGCTTCCAAAGCATCTCATACTCATCTCGCTGTTCCTTGTTGGTAAGGCCGTTGGTTTTGAGTTTTCTCCTAGTTTCAGTTATGTCAATCGTGCTATCAGAGATCCAATGTTGTTTCTTGGAATGTTTGATTTTCAGTTGTGTGGCCTCTTGCGTTGATATTATCGTGTCCATCTACATCTGGTTTGGATCTGCGTATTGTTTTGGTAGTATATTGATCTCGAGATTACGATGCAATACAGTCCTGAAGGAAGCTTCACCATATCAGTGGTAGCCTAGATTTTGGGATTAATCTCTCGCATGTTTGGAGTTTTATTCGAAATTTGCATATTAAAAGTCTTTACCGATTGAACGGATGTTCGCCAGCGTCTTCTTATTAATATGTAGCCTATCTGGTTCTTGGTCTTCTTATCTGGTGTGGTCCAGGTGAAAAGACGGCGTTTATGTTGTTTGTATATTGCATTCGTGATGCAGTAGTTATTGTATATGTAAAATTACATCAGTCTATCACCCCTCCCTATTTCTAGTTCCTATGCCGTGTTTTCCGACAACATGACTAATTGTCCTCGTGCGTACGTCCAACTTTGGCATTTAGATCGCCCAGAATTATTACGATCTCGCGGTTTGGTATTTCATTAATCAAGGTTTTGAGGGAAGCATAGACATTTTCTACTTCCTCATCACCCGCCCCAGCCGTAGGTGCATATGCTTGAATTATGTTAACATGGCAGGAGGCTCCATTAATTCGGACGCAAATTATGCGTTCGCTTATAGCCTTGTATCCGGTGACTGCGTTGTTTACTCGGTCAGATATCATCCGCAACTTCGGTCTTTCAGACCGGAAAAGTACACCTGGAAATCCACAGCGCTAAAATGACCATTGCCAGTGTGTCTCCGCAATTCCTGCAATTTTTATATTGCAGCGTTTAATGTTTTTGTTAGATAACAATAATTGAATGTGACTTGGTGACACGATCTTGGTTTCATTGTTCTATTTTAAGCCCTATATTTTTCTTGATGTTATATGTTGCTTTGCTGCATCACTTCCTTTAATTTTTCTGGATATTCCGAGATGAGAACAATAGCGTCCGCGAAGCTTAGGTGAAAATAAGCGTTTTCTTAAATATACCTTCCAGTGCCAGAGTCTTGGAACTGGAAGGAAGTGTCAGAAAGGAAAGCAATGAACGACAGGGGAAATATTAGACATGATGGAGGAGAGAAGAGAAGTGAAGGAAAAATACAGGATGAAGTACAGACAAATGGATAGAACTATAAAAAAGCAAATCAGACAAGCAAAGGACAGATGGTTCAGGGAACGATGCGAGGAGATTGCAACACGACAAATTTCAGACAGAGAAAAATAAAAAATCAACCTTTAAGAAAACTATTTAATTAAGGCAATGTTGTAAATGACAATGATTTATAATACTATTTATTTAAATTATTTATAATGACAATTTAATAGTGAGAGAAAGACAAAAAGGTTTCCTTTGAGCGGATATTTCGTGCGGTCGTGTGCAAAACCCGGAGGGTGAGCTCGTTTGAGCGCCACTAGCTTTCGCAGCAAAGCTGGAACACTCAGCTATGGAATGCTGCCGAAATACCTACTCAATTCTTTTACCGTGATATT